ATAGCAGGGGTGCCCCAACCCAGACGCAGGGCCTTGCACTTTGCCTTGTTGAACCTCATGAGGTTCACACAGGCCCATTTCTCGAGCTTGTCCAGGTCCCTCTGGATGGCATCCAGTCCTTCTGGTGCGTCAGCTGCACCACTCAGCTTGGTGTCATCTGCAAACATGCGGAGGGAGCACTCAATGTCACTAAGTCATTGATGAAAATGTTAAACAGCACTGGTCCCAGTACTGACCCCTGAGGGACACCACTTGTCACTGGCATCGATTTGGACATTTGAGCCTTTGACCACTACCCTCTGGCTGTGACATTCCAACCAATTCCTTAGCCACTGAACAGTCCACCCATCAAATCCGTATTTCTCCAATTTAGAGAGAAGGGTGTTGTGAGGGACTGTGTTGAAGGCTTTACAGAAGTCCAGCTAGATCATGTCTGTAGCTCTTCCCTTGTCCACTGATCTAGTCACACCATCATAGAAAGCCATTAGGTTGGTCAGGCAGGACTTGCCCTTGCTGAAGCCATGCTGGCTGTCTCAAATGACCTCCCTGTCCTCCATGTGCCTTAGCATAGCTTAATGACATCAGCCAGTTCCCTCAGGACTGTGGGATGCATCTTGTCAGGTCCCATAGACTTATGTACATTCAGGTTCCTCACATGGTCCCGAACCTGGTCTTCCTTTACAGTCAGAGGGGCTTTTCTGCTCTGGTCCCATCTTGCAGTTCATCAGCTGGGGAGAGGCAAGGAGAGAGGTTGCCAGTGAAGACTGAGGCAAAAAAGTTGCTGAATACCTCAGCCTTCTCCTTCTCTGTTGATACGAGGTTGCCATTCTTGCTCCTCAGGTGGGCATGCTTTCTTTAGCCTTCCTTTTCTGGCTGATATACCTGTAGAATAACTACAAGATCCAGAGCATTGAGATCAACATCAACACAGCAGCTCTGAAGTGTGGGTACATGGTTCTCAGAGCAAGCTCCAGGCCTGAGACAGGCAATAACATGCTGCAACAAATGGAATTGTACATGGTCATCCCCTGCAATCTACAAACATCTTTTTCAGTAGGACTTCTATCTGCTTCATTTCGGAGCAACAACTTTGTTCAGCTGCTGTCATTCCCTTCCTTCCTTTTTTCTTCCCCTATTACTAGAGACTCCAGGAAGAAGCAGTAAAAGGAAGCAATTGGCAGTGTTTTATGTGGGATCCTTGTAGATCATTAAAAAGGAAAGTATGTACATAAAACTCTCCACTGTTCATTCCCTGCTCCCCTTACTCAGACCGGAAATGCAGACATGTCTGTTTCATTTCTGTATTGTTTTTCCCCCTCTTCAAGGAGATAGTGCAGCAGTGTGTTGGGTGAGGTTTATTTATTAAAACAAGTGTTAAGACCTTGCTTGTTCTGCTTGGGCACCAACCTAGGTACAACATGAGGACAGCATGAATAACTAACAGCAGCTGTGGAATCAGAGCCTGGTTGGAAGATCGCATTTGCAGCCTTCACCAAAATTGCCACACAGTGTTTGCACTGCCAACTTGAGCCACAATACCAAGAGAAAGGGCAAATTCTGAACCTCATTGGGATGGCAAGGAGCAGCCCACAAATGTGTCAACCTCTAACCAGCAATCGGTTTTCCTCAAAGCATAGACTCAGGCCATGTTCTTTGATAAGCTGGAAATGTGTGTTTTGTAACTTTGCACTTAAGAGAGCCCTACACTTTGCATCCTGGCTCTAAAGACTTTGTTTCAGAGTCAGAGAATAAACTATTATCAAGTACAGAACCCATAGTAATGACTGTACTTCTACAAATGTTAATAATTTTTCCAGTTATGGAAGGAGCCGGGAGATGTCATTTTGGCCGCTATAACTCTCTGACCCATCATAAAGACATTCACAGCTCGAGGACTTTCATCATGCTGTGAAATACCCATCAAAATAGAAGCCTAATTAACACCTCTTACAAAGTCTGCAAAAAGTGATTGACCAGTGTTATGCTGTAAACAGCAATAACTTGAGCACCTCAAGCAGTTGGACGGCAATGTCATTCACACATGCACCTATGTTGTTTTGGCACAGCCCTTGCAAAAGCTGCACATTGTCAGGAGAACTACTCAGAGCCATATGTTTTTCCAGACTTCAAACCAGATTATAACCTAATGATTACTTTCACTACACACTTAAGACACACAAACACAAGTTAAGACACACAAACACGAGCTGTTCTGAAAGGCCACTTCAACTATTAGCTATTCAAGACAGTATGAGTACACTTTGACAATTAGAGGAAGAAAAGGGAGAGGTTTATAATTTTTTTTTTAGATAAACTTTTAATGTGCTATATATGCATGACTGCTACAAGATCTTCCACCTAGGCACAATACTACACACTGCAACATACCTAATTTTCACAGTACATTGAAAAGTCAGGGAAAAATATTCTTTCACTGGAAAAATATCATACAATCACTTAAATAAACAAAGACAGTGTTACAGTGCAAATAATATCCCCATTTTATTTGTTCTGCAATTACTGACTACTTTCTAAAATTCTTTAAAAAAAATAATCAAAAAAACCTTCCCACAGACAACCAGCATTTTCTGAGATTATTTCCTCTTGCTGAAGAATGTTGATCTGATCCTTGAAGCTGTAATACACTGTATACACATTTGTATGATGCATATTGACCTGATTTGTATGAAGCAAAGGATCCCATCCCAAAATCTGCAGACAGCAATAAAGTGGCACCTGCTGGTTTCAGCTGACTTTCAGTCAGGCACATGCCAAGAAAGATTCGGTACAACAGTTGTCCCCATAAGCTAAACACAATGTGCTTAAGGAAGCTGGGAAAGGCCTTGGTTAATGATGCTGTTGTTTTCTACTGGTAATTCCTGTTAGAGAGGAGGGGCTTACTTTTTCATCACAGAAGAAAAAGAGACTATAGAGGAGCAACAATGCAAGATTCTCAAAAATGCACTTCAACATGAAAAAGAAGTATGGCATATTTCTGTCCCAAGGGGCATGACAGAGTAGCCAGAGCTCACACAGGCAAAGACTCAGACAGCAGCATATTCAATCTGATTCCTAATCAGCTTGCAGAAGCTCTGCCACCTTCATGGGTGATATTAAGAGGAGAATGAAGAGTTCTGCAAAGACTTCAGGGAAACAAAATGTGCATGTAGGTGAGTACATGAAAAATAGGAAAGAGAAAAAAAAGAAAAAAGGCAAAAAGTACACAAAAAAAGAGGTTTCACTTGGAGAGGAATGTAGTCTGTTTGTACTCCATTGTGCCACCCTTCTCAGAAAACCAGTAAGAACCTATTCCAATGCAGCTTCAAATTGTGGGTGAGATAGGGACGGTCTGACCCACTACTTTTTCTGCACAGAGTGACACTGGGCTCCTCACATATGAGTTCAAACTGGGGTGGATGCCATATAAAGAATAAGCCAGGCTTAAAAGGAAGCAGAACATTCACCCCTGATGACATTATATAAGACATCCTTGAGGTTCTTATCAGATTAGACAATACAATGAAGCACTACTTTTACAGGTAGTAAGTGGTATTTCATTACAATTTTCAGATTTGCCCTTCTTTCTAAGCATACATAAAATGTAATAGTAGTTACGAAAGTTGAATTAAGTAACACATAATTTCACAGTCCTGCTGCAGTCTGTAAAATATGGAAACTGCATATAACCAGTTTGCTACTACAACAGCTGATGGGTTAATGCACAACATTCTAGACATAGGTGGGAGATGGCACAAAGTGCCAGATTATTGATTCCCCAGTTCCAATTTCTGCACAATTTTTTTTTTTACTTATCTTATTCAACAAGCACACTGAGCATGTAGAAAATGTCTCTCAAGTGGATGGGCACTGAGTTGCAGGACTAAGGTACAGAGCAGCTTCTGCAATGCTTCTGGCTGACAGTGACTGAAATACAGCAGGAGGCTTCTGCACATGGTGAAAATCAACACGGACCAGCAAGTATGTCAAGGGACTATGTTTTCTTGGTACACCAGAAAAACAAATTCTGCTCTGCTACATACAGCAGTTCTCATCTACACGGCTGCAAAAGCCATCTTCTGGAAGGGCAGTGTGACACACACTTGTTATTCTGCTACCTCAGCAGGACAACTATTTGATCCAGATAAATACACAAGTGAAGAATTAGCCCACTAAAGCTTTATGAAAGCCTTTGACCAACCTCATGCACAAATACTAACCCACATAATAAACTGACACATTCTCAACTACTAAAAACATTACGGTGTAACTGCCCCCAACAGAATTAGCTACCTGCATCTATGAATGAAACTTGCAAATGAAGACAGTAACCCTTAAGAGATCACTGTACGAGAAAGGATAAAAATGTATAACTACCTTTTAACTACTTTCCCTATTCAAAAATAATAAACCATGATTTGCTTTCACAAAATTATTATAAGATTGTGTGCCTAATAGGAGTTCAACATTTGACTACCCCAAGAAACTGCATTAAAAAAAACAAAACCCACCAAGCTAAGTGAGCAGAGCCACAGGGACCTGCCTGCTAAGCAGCTCCTTCTCAGGTCCACCAAGAACAACCTAGGGTCCCTCAGAGTCATGTTACTCTTGTAAATGGAGAAGTTTCTCAGGGTAGCAAGAGAATAAAAGTTGCTGGTGTTTTACTGCTGAGAAGTACTTATTGATTCTTCTCAAAACATGGAGGAACAACTTTTGTTGGGAAGTACTTTCATTCACAGGGAAGCTCTACGAAAGTTATCTGTTCTCCTTGCACTAAAATAAAATTTCTTTGTCTTATGGAGAAGCACAGTTCTAGAGGCATGCTGCAGCATGAGAGTACCATACACACAGTCCCATACACAACTCTGCAGAGCGTCCATATTCCCAAGAGTAAAGGCTGCCACTTTTCATCACAGACTGAAGCATCGAACTCTGGTAATGAATTCTGTGCAACCCACCTTACCTCTCACCTCCCATCCACAGGAAGGGGTGAGGCTAGGTTATTAGAGGGTCTGCACAGCCACAGGGTAGAGCAGAGACAAGTGTTCTGCTCCTTTGATAGGCAGCTTTTTTGTGGTGTAGTAGTGGATGACTTCAGGAACACTGTTGAAGGGAGGGCTGTTCTGACCCAGAATGTATTTCTCTTTGGTTTTCATCAGTTTCATGTGCATAAAACCTTGACTGCTCCTGCAAGGAAAAGAAAGCATTAGTTCATGCTTGTGCAATAGGGAACACAGGAGCAGCATGACAACAAGCTCTCCTTCACGGTGTAGCAGAATGCAGGAGAACAAAATGCAAGTAGCTGCTGGATGACAGGCCAAGACTCTGACAGATAATGAACGCTAGCTGAAAACCGCTATGCACCGTCCAACACAAAGGCAGCCTAAGCTAGTATTTTGTTTTCACCACCTGTGCTGTCTGGGTCCAGGCATAAGGCTGGCTTTCTTACCCTGCAATTGATCCAGAGGTGTGCCAGAGGACAATTCCTTTCCTGTCCCCCCCGAATGTTTTTCTGTGAACATTTACTTTTCACTACAGCAAATCATTACTTCTGGACCAAAAGGTATCATTAGTTTTGGCCTGTCAGAGGCCTGAGGCTCTCTTCATAGGCACATAAGCAGACCATGAGCCTTACTCAAACGAGGCAAGGCCTGCGCTATTCTGACCTGAGAAGACCTCAGGACAGACCACACCCATCCCACCTTAGCAGCAGCTGCCCAGAACATGGCTATGTGCAGAGCCTGGTGGCTTCAGCTGGAAAAACTTCCTCACAATGAGCCCATTCCCAAAATCAATGGCATAAAGACTCACCTGCACTGTACTGAGAAAAGGCTGCTATCCTGCAGCCTTTTTACAGGCAGAAACCAGTCCGTGACTTCACACCAGAAGCATTCAATTTCTAGATGACCTGCCTGCCCGCATAGTAGGCTGTCTCTTTGAGGGAAGAAGGCTCACAGTTACACAGAGAAGAGTGGCACGGTAACTGCCTTGTCTGCTCCTGCAAAAGCAAGCCATCTAACATAATGCCACTCTGATGAGTGGCACCCACACTGCCATCTATACAGTAGGTGGTAGAGCTCACCTCATCTATTCCCAGCAGTGACCATTCAGTGTCTGCTGTCTTCAGCATGTCATACAGGCTATTTCAAGCATGTAGAGTTTAGCCAGGACAAAACAAGAGCAACGGATGGCTTCTGCACTTCAAGATATTAAATGAGGCATGGAGGGTTTTTACAGCTTGCTTGAAGTCCCACTCCCTAACTTTCTGGCTCCAAACCATTGTTTCTTCCAAGTGTGTCCAGGGTTGAAGACAATAGAGTTAAAACGGGAGTCAGTATATGTCAGCAAGGAAACCCAGTTTAAGACAACACAGAAAGCTACAGCAGGAAAACAAATTGTCCTGGGTTTGGCCAGAACAGGGTTAATTTTCACCAGAATCCAGGAAGGGGCACAGCCGGGGGGTGGGGGCTGACCCCCCCTGGCCAAACAGAGCCCGGTATTCCACACCATGTGACGTCACGCTGGGTTCCGGTGGGGGGGGGCGGCCCGGAGGAACGCACTCGCGGCTTTGGCGGGGCGTGGCGCCGGTCCTGTTTCGGGAGAGCGGCTGTCTGGGTCGTACGGTTCGTTGTTGTGTTTTCTCCTTATTTGTATCGTTGTTGTCCCTGTTTTCCCTCTGTTTGCTGTTCTGTTAAACTGCCCTTATCCCGACCCACCGGTTTCTGCCTGTTTCTTTTCATTCTCCTCCGCACGCCGGCG